TTTGCGGTGTGCCCCACTTGGTAGCAAGACGCAGACGTTTATGAACGTTGTGTTCGGCGTTCCCATGCCCCAGGGCTATGGCTTGACTGAGACGTGTTGCAACGGGTCGATACAGCGGACAGGGGAGTTGCACCCTGCCGCAGGTCAGTTATTAAAGGGTGTTGAAGCGAAACTGTGCGACACGGAAGAGTACAAGCACACGGATACACCTTATCCACGTGGTGCGCTTTTATTGCGGGGCCCAGCTCTTTTTAAGGGCTACCTGAAGCAGGAGGAGGCGACAAGTGAGGTGTTTACAAAAAAAGGCGGCTGGTTTCATACGGGTGACGTGGTGGAGATGGATGACAGCGGGTGTCTTCGTATTATTGGCCGTGTGAAGGCGCTGGCAAAGAACCTGTTGGGGGAGTACATTGCCATTGAGTTCCTTGAAGCCTTGTATGGGCAGCATGAGTTGGTGTCCCCGAACGGCGTCTGTGTGCTTGTCCATCCGCAGCGTGCGTACATCTGCGCCCTTGTCTTGACAGAGCAACCGAAGGCAATGAATTTCGCTTCTGTTCACAAAATCCCTGGCAATTGGCCGGAGATCTTGCAGGAGCCCTTGTTTCATCAACGTGCAGCGGAGGCACTTACGGCGCTGGCGAAGGCGGAGGGACGACGCCCCTTTGAGCTACTGCGACATGTGCGGGTGCTGAAAGACGAGTGGACGCCGGAGAACGGAATAATGACAGCGTCCATGAAGATACGTCGCTCTGCCGTTGATAAGCGTTACGCGGATTACATTGAGCAGCTCTTTGAGGACGAGTGACGCTTCTTTTTCTTTTTTTTTTTTCCCCCCTCTCTCTTCTTCTTTCTTTTTCTTTTCACCCACCCCACCCACTCGCAGCAGCCAACTCTTTAAAATCAACATTTCAGAGAAGTCGTCTGGGAAGAACGAAAATTTGGGCGTAATCGTTGATGGCAACTTTTGGAGCGGACATGCGTGCAGTTGGAGAATGGCGGGAGGGAGGAAGAAATAATGAAAGTTAGAGGGGCGAGGAGAAGAGGAACAAAATAACAACAACAACAATAAGAATTAAATAAACGGAAACCGCATCAACGAACGGAATGGCGATGATGGAGCGGAGGAAACGAGAACGAGCAGGAAATATAGAAGAGCAGGAGGAAGGAAGAAGGACGTGTCGTGTAAGCCGACCCGAGAAGAGGGAGGGGACCCTTTATGATGCCCTTCCTTTTTTTTTCCCCTTCCTCTCTTGCCTTGTGCCGTGGCGTACTGCATTTGGCGTGTGTGTGTGTGTCTGGGGGGCAAACACACACGAACGCTGTCTTTTTATTCTGCATGGCCGGAAGCGTTTTTTTTTTTTTTTTTTTTGTTCTTACGGCAACAAAGATGGAGAGAAGAGGCGAACAGTGAAGAAGGAAAAGCAAAAGGGAAATAAATGGGATTTTATGCCTGACATGAGGCATCCGTTGAGTCTTTTCTTAGCGTTGATTGCTGGACTCAATGTGTGCACGTGTCTGTTGGGTACAGAGAAATATTATTGTTATCATTCCTGCTGCTCCCTTGCTCTATACTTTGGTTCCTCCTTTTCTCTCTCTCACCTTCTCTATTTTCCCCCGTGGGTGCGTGGGTGCGTGCATGGTGCTCTTTTTTCTTTTGCCATTCATTCCGTTTGGTGGCCGGGGAGGGTAGCGACGTGGGGGAGGGAGGGAACAGAAATCACTTCCTCCCCCTTTTCATTTTAGAATAAACACGAGAAAAAAAAATGCTAAACATAAATACGATGTTTTTTTTTTTTTTTTTTTTTTTGCATCACATCCGCGGGGTGGAGAAGCAGCGGCATTTGCCATTTTTTTTTTTTTTTTAATTCCACACGCGAGGCAAAATATACATGTTGCGACGTACGTATAAATTTTCTGCTTCCTTCTTTCCTTCTCTCTTTTTTTTTTTTTTTGTTGGTGCTTCGTGCACTCAATTGTAGCGCACTGAGAGCGGCAAGCAGCCAAACAACAAAAACAAGAAGAAGAAGGCGATAAAAAAGCAACAAAAGTAGAAGGATTAGGCCACGCTCACATACACTCACACTGAGAGGCAGAGGCACCGATTATTTGAGTAATTGAGCGGGTGGGTAAAATATATAAATAAATATATTATTATTATTATTATTATTATTGCTAAAGAAGTATCCTTGAAGCGGCTATATTACATTCCGTTATTATTCATTTATTACTTATTATTATTTTTAATTTATTACAATCTGATTTTGAGCTGTGGCAGGCAAAATGGGAGGCTTGATATCAACGTTGATGGACATACGAAACAGCATGTCTTTGGTGCCACATCCGGTCCTTACCGGAAAGAGGGAGCAGCTGACATTGACGCTGCCTGGAACAGAGACGGAAACGACATCGGCCATCTACCGCCACAGTCGAACCGGAAACGAGGCGGAGCACCGGCGAATTCAGGAGGAATACCGTGCAAGAAATTGTGTGCAAACGCTTGAGGAGAAGTGCAAAACATTGGGCTCACGTCCTGCTGTTGCTTACCGTCCGCTAGAGCGATTAGAGCGCCGCTCCGTCCGTAATGCGGATGGGACTGAGCGCACGCTTGACTACTATCACTACCGTGGGCGTCAGGTGGTGTCTTACGAGGATTTATGGCATTACATTACGTCCTTCGGCTCGGGGTTACTTGAGCTTGGGGTGCCTCAGCGTAGCATGATCACCATTTATGAAGACACGCGATGGGAATGGCTTGTGTCTATTTACGGTATCTGGACGCATAACATGGTCGCCACGACGGTCTATGCGAACCTCGGTGAAGATGCCTTGAGATACGCCCTCTCGGAGACCGATTCAGCGGTTATCATTTGCAGTGGCCGGACACTGAAGATGCTTCTTACGCCGCTCCGTGAACGAGGGCTCCATCCCATCATTGTTTGCCTCGATAGCGTTCCCGTTGATGTCGACAAGGGTGACTATCAAATCGTTGCGTGGACGGATGTTGTGAAAAAGGGCGCGGAGGCAAAACATGCCATAAACATTCCCACCGACAACGACATTGAGGCGATGATTATGTACACAAGTGGCACGTCCGGTGATCCAAAGGGCGTCATTCACACCCACGGTTCGATTGCCGCGGGTATTAATGCTCTTGAAGAGCGACTAAGCGATCTTTACAATTCGACAGCAGAAACGGAAACGTACTGTGCCTTCTTGCCACTTGCACATA